AAAAGAGAACAGAAAAAGTCCGGAAAACAAACGAAAAATACCGCAACACTCAAATGAACGCAAAACACACAATAAATGACAAAAAGATCCTAAAACCACTTAAACGACTCAATAGGGGGGGAAAAAGAACGGGAAAATAAGCACGAAAAATGCAACAAAAATGGGACAATCAATAGATACTTAACAGCTTTTAGAACCCATCATGGGCATTATGAGTTCCTTGTTATGCCTTTTGGACTCTGTAATGCAGCTGCTACATTTCAGTCCCTCATGAATCAAGTTTTCAAGAGCAACCTAAGGAAGTTCACACTTGTCTTTTTTGATGACATTCTGGTTTACAGTAAAACTGAGGAGGATCATTTGTTACATTGGAGGGAAGTTTTACAAGTGCTGAGGGAAAATTCTTTGTATGCTAAACAAAGCAAATGCAGTTTTGGGGACTCCAAGGTTGAATATTTAGGCCATATCATTTCGGCTGATGGTGTGGCCACAGACCCCAAAAAGATAGAAGGCATGTTACAATGGCCCACACCAACCTCTGTGAAGCAACTTAGAGGGTTTCTTGGCTTAACAGGGTACTACAGGAGATTTATCAGAGGTTATGGAGAAATCAGTAAGCCACTTACAACCCTACTCATGAAGGATCAATTCAGATGGAATGATGAGGCTGACAAGGCCTTTATGAGTTTAAAGGCTGCAATGACCAACACACCAGTCTTGGCACTACCCAATTTCTCTCTACCTTTCACACTTGAAACAGATGCCAGTGGATATGGTATTGGGGCAGTACTCATGCAGGAAGGAAGACCCATCTCTTTCCTAAGTAAGGCCCTATGTCCTAAAAATCAGGCCCTTTCTATTTATGAAAAAGAGTTTTTAGCAGTTCTTCTTGCAGTACAAAAATGGAAACAATATTTGCAAGGCCATAAATTTGTCATCAAGACAGATCAATAGTCTCTCAAATATTTGTTAGACCAAAAGGTGGCCTCACCATGGCAGCAAAAGGGAATTATCAAGTTATTGGGCCTTGATTATGAAATTAGCTACAAAAAGGGGAAGGAAAATAAGGCAGCTGATGCCCTTTCCAGGATCCCTGTGGAGTCAATCAATTGCAGAGCCATAACCACTATGGTACCTAAGTGGGTGACTGAAGTTGTTGACAGTTATGAAGGGGATGCACTCATTCAAACACAAAAGGAAAAGCTGATATTGGCTCCTGACTCTGAGCCAAACTATAGTTGGAAAAATGGGATTCTGAGATACAAGGGCAGATTATTCACTGGTCAGAACCCTACCTTAAAGCTTAACCTGATCACTGCTATGCATAACTCTTCCATTGGGGGGCATTCTGGGATTCAAGGCACTTACATGAGATTAAGGAGAGCTTTTTATTGGCCAAAAATGAAACATGATGTTGTCCACTTTGTGCAGAAGTGTGACACTTGCATGATTAATAAACCCACAAATGAATAACCCCCAGGCTTACTGCAACCACTCCCCATACCTAATGAGGCTTGGTCAGACATCTCTATGGATTTCATAGAAGGGTTGCCTAAATCTTGGGGAAAGGACTCTATTTTAGTGGTGGTGGACAGATTGACTAAGTATGGGCATTTCATTCCTCTCTCACACCCTTACACTGCTCAGGATGTGGCCAAACTATTTATGGACCAGATTTACAGGCTTCATGGGATGCCAATTTGTATATTGACAGACAGAGATAAAGTCTTTACCAGTTTATTTTGGAAGGAGTTGTTTAAGATGCTGGGGGTGACACTGAGTCTATCCTCTTCTTATCACCCACAAACAGATGGGCAGACAGAGAGGGTGAACCAATGTGTGGAGAACTATTTGAGGTGTATGACTCATTACTCCCCAAAAAAGTGGCTAAAGTGGTTGACATTGGCAGAACATTGGTATAATACCAATTACCACACTTCCCTGAAGTCAACACCATTTGAAGCTTTGTATGGCTATTCTCCTACATCCCTATCACTCAGGGCTTACCTAGACTCATCTAATTTTGATGCAAGGGAGTTCCTTATACAAAGGCAGCTAACAACGCAAGGACTCAAAGATAACCTACTTGCAGCACAAAATAGGATGAAAGCCTATGCAGACAAATCCAAAGTTGACAAAGAATATGAGGTAGGGGAAATGGTATACCTTAAGCTACAACCTTATCGCCAATCTTCAGTGCAGCTCAGGAAAAATGTTAAGCTTAGCACCAGGTACTTCGGGCCTTACAAAATCATTGAGAGGGTGGGTAAATTCGTATACAAGCTTGAATTACCCGAAGGATCCAGAGTGCACCCGGTTTTTCACGTTTCACTGTTAAAGAAAAAGATAGGGGATGGAGACTTATCTGTAGCAACTTTGCCCATTCCTGGAGAAGATGACCAATTTGTCGCACGCCCTACTGAAACTCTCGACAAACGCAGCGTGAAGAGAAGAAATGAAATTGTGCAGCAAATTCTGGTGGCTTGGGGTGACAAAACCCTAGATATCAACTCGTGGGAAGATGAAAAGTTTATTCGAAAGAAGTTTAAGGGATTTGATCCTTGTGGACAAGGATCTGAAAAACGGGGAAGAAATGTCGTGAACTCAGTGGAAACAAGAGGAAATTCAGAGGAAAAAGGAGAAAAACCCAACCATGGCGATGAAGAAGAAAATCGGGAAAGTAAAGTGAATGGGATTCAGACAATCAAACAAGCTTTGTCCGATTTTCAGGGTGAGGCTCAGATGGTGACGCGTGGAGAAGTTTCGACCATTGATCTCAATGGATGAAGAGTTGGACGTGGCAGCATCATCTATTTATTATTAATAGTTTAATAGCATTTTTATTTTATATTTATGTTTATTTCTAGCATGTGCCAAATAGTGAGTTTCTTAGGCTGTGGACCCAACTGAGTGTAATTTACTTAATGGTGAATTTGAGGTGAAAATGACAATGAGTTATGCATTCAGATTCTCTCATCTATCTCTCTTCTCTCTCTCTCTCTCTCTCTAAAATCCTCCCCAAATTCTCCTTCTTCCCCAAGTATCTTTTTCCATTTACAGTCCAAAAAATAATTTAAGAAAATTACAAAAAAATACAAAAACCCAAATCACTACACGTTTATGGTGAATAAACTCTCACAAGCCAAATATTTTCGTTGTTAAATATGTCAAGTTAATTATCAACCTTGTAGACAAGAGAACTATCTTACAAAAATTACGGATAATCTATATGCATTTCATTCATTATCTATTTAGATATAATTGTTAGCTAACCAAATAATTTTACCTAATAAATAAAACCTAATAAATTATACCTAGCGGACACTATTCACATTTCGCCCCAAAATCGGTTACAAATGAATTATTTATCCTGCCTTAGTTAGCTTTTGATAATCACAACATGAGAACTCTGTTTGGAAAGTCTTTAGATGTTGTATATGTGTAATTTTTTTAGAGTGTTATTTCACTTTTAGTTGGTGACATGATTTGCATTTAAACATAATTTGTCGAAAAAAAAAATAAATTACAAACTCCTAAAATTTATAATTATATATTAGTCAATACAAAAAAATAAAATAATTACATATATCATAT